CTTTATCCAATATCAGGTTTATTGTGCACCAAATCGCTAATATCAGCCCAAATGAACTGAATATAGGCAAATCCGACTGAATTAATCCTAGAAACAAGTGAATCTAATTTGGTGAAAATTGGTTAAGATATAACTATAGCTGTCATATTTATGTTTTATTCAATTTGGGGTTTTGAGACCCTCACATGCGTAATATGCACTCAACAACAGTTATCTTTGGTACCAGATATCCGAGACAGCTCAGAAATGAATGCCTAAAATTTTGTGAAGATCGGTTCAGATTTGGACATACCTCCCATATATATCTTTATACGATTTCAGGGTTTACGTGCACTAAATGGTTAATATCAGCCCAAATGGTTAAGTCTAGAAGAAAATACATCAAATTTGGGGATAATCGGTTCAGATATAGCTATAGCTCCCATATATATGTTTCATCCGATTAGGGGTTTGAGTCACTTACATGCGTAACATGCCCTCCACAATAATGATATGTGATACCGAACATCAGATACAGCTTGGCAGACACCTCTATCAAATTGTATCGAGATCGGTTCAGGTTTTTATATAGCTTCGATATACATCTTCATCCAATTGTACTGTTTTGCTCACCATATATGTAATGTCAGGCCAAATTAAATAGATTTTTTCATATTCAACAGAATTTTACCATTTGGTGAAAATCGGTCCGGTATATCTATTGCTCCAAGAAATATTTTTTAATATAATCCTTACCAAAGTCATATCATGCATTATACAGCAATGTTATTTGGTTCATATGTGGTATGATCTACTTCGCAAAAATTCCCAATATAATTTTTTTTTGTTACGAGAACTCTACTAAATACGCATAGTGGTGTAAGGTATCATATAGTCGGCCGCGTCCAACTCTTGACCTTTCCTTACTAGTTTTTTTTTGGTTTTTTGGAACATTGATGCTGATATTTTTTTGATATAGAGTGAATATACGGATTTCTTTGGTGACATATAGCAAAATTTGATGAAGACTATTTTTGCCGTTGACGTCATTCCACAAAATTTTTCCCGGGGTTCTTGAAAAAATTGAACCGATATCAACGTACACAAAACTTACTGCATTTCAAAGAGTAAATAAAAATTCCAAACGGATTTCAAAATTCGAAAGGATATTTTCGTGTTTTACTACAAAATGGTGCCCACATATGGTTATATTTCCTTGATTTATATATGTGTAATTTCCTTTATTTACAAAATGAAATAAATTAAAATGAATAACCACTTCTTGTCGAAATTCGCATTTTCCACAGGGAATTTTTTTCTTGTTCGCCTTTTAAATCTCTATTTCGTCTGACGATTTTTTTTATTCAGCTATGATTTTTTGATTATCTTTGTTTTGTCTGTTCATTTGTGTTGTTAGTTTTAACCAACAGATTTGGTTTTGAAAACAGATTTAGGAACAGATTTTGCAAACGAATTGTAATCATTGTTTGCATTGCCAAGAAAATGTCACTGGCGAACAGAATCTTGTAAACGTTACTTGGCCTTGGCTTATCATTTACTTTTTTTTTAGAAATTGATATCATGGATCAACTGAATGACAAAAGTTTGTTTATATTTTTGTTAGAAAGTCTGAATGCATTTGCTAAGATTATGGAAAAGAAACGAAAGAGGTTTGCAGTTACTGCAAGAAATTAAAGAAGACATTTAGTCCGATTTATTTTTCTTGTGGCTAGCAGAAAATTTGAAAATCTTGTTTCGAAATATGTTTTGGAAATATGACTACTTTATTCCCCAGAAATATTGGGTGAGGATCGGACGATAATTGCAACTTGTGTTGTAAGGTGAAAAATTATTACAAAATATACACTTCAATATTATAAGTTAAATTGGAAAAATCGCATGCGATAAAAAATATGAAAATATAAAAAAATGTCACAAAATACTACAAAATCTATATTAACATCATTATTGGCATCTTTTTATGCCATTTTTTTAGATTTTATCCTTTTATGCCAAGAGGGCATTCTGAATTGAAAAAATTTGTCGAAATTGGTACAGCCATTCTTGAGATATAAAAGAGTTCTAGCTAACATCCCCTTCCTTTGTATATACACGTTGTATATATTTCGCTATATATGTCCGATATATTAACTATCGGCATCGACGTAACGGTCAGAATTGATCAGTTCGTCTATTTATGATTTTGCCGGGATTAAAAGTATTCGCGATTTAATAGACAATTTAACTTTTGTTTAACATATAATACCCCCTACACATAGTGTTGTAGGGTATAAAAATCGGAAATATGAGCAAGCGAAAACTCCACTTTAAAATTTTAAATCTGTTCCTACAGTTCAAGTTAGGTCTTCATTTGATACTGCCAAACCGTGCCTCATCGAAATAACGGGTTTAGACTCTCTTTGGACCAAATCCGTTTCAGGACATGTGGAGTCGATCTAGTGACGTCCGTCCGTCTGTTTATCTGTCTGGTGCGCAAGATAACTCTCGAAGGGTGTATCCGATTTGATCCGAACTTGGAACATCGCAATATTATTGTCAAACTTAGATCGAGTTTGGAGATGGACAATATCGATCCACTCCTTCTGGTACCTCCGCCACAAAAGGTCGAAATTGTGAAAAGAAAATACTTTGCTGCAGAGAAAGAGAAAGAATTATCCGATTTTGGTCTAACTTTGCGAATCCTAATATTTGCATCAGTGCTACGTCAGGTGCGAAAATGTATAATATCGGTCCATTCCTCTAAGTACCCAAAAAAGGGTCCAAATTTTGAATAATTATAACTTTTATAATATGTGATGTAACAGTTCAATTGTCTTCAAATCTTGTCTTTCCACAATATTTTTATTAGCTCAAGGACTGGTGTGAAGATGGAATACATAGGTCCACTCCTTCTAGTACCTCCCTCGCAAGGGGTCAACATTTTGAGAATCCATGAAGCTCATAAAACGGGAAATTAACAACCGATTCCATTCAGACTTGGTACATCTCAATATTTCTATCCACAAAAGGTTTTTTTAAATTGTAGAGATCGGCCCATTTCTTCTGGTACCTCCCCCACAAGGGCTCAAAAATTTGAATAACCAAGACCAAGATAGCAAAATCCGAAATAAGCATCCGGTTCTCTTTATATGTCACAAATCCCATTATTTTTACTAATACAAGATCCTTCACTCCATCAATCAATTTCAAGATTCTAGCTTCAGCTGTTTCGTTTGGGTGTTAATTTTCAGTCGCTCAGTTATTTTATTATTCTCTTATTTATATACACGCAGAGAAAAAATATTTTTCACTATGGTTGCAGAAACCATAACTATTGTTGCCACAACTTTTATATGTTTGTAGCAAACATGTGAATTGCATATTTGAAAATACTATGTTCCCTGCAACCATAATTTCCAAAATTTAAATCGAATTTTTGTAATATGATAAAAATAATTTACAATACCAATGGTCTTCACAATCATGTTGCTAATAAATTTACAATACATTTTGTAGAATTTTAAAATAATATTGTAAATTGTATGCGCTTGAGAGCTGAGCGTGTCAAAACATGTTAGTTTGATTGGAGAGTTCGAAGAAGTACTACGTGCGTAAATTTAAGAGTGATATAAAAGTGAACATTTAAAAGTTTTACTTAATACAATAAATATTAAAGAGTCATAAAATAATGACACATGCTATCTATAAATACAATAAAAATAAAGTGAGTTTATTTCGCGTTCGCTTACAACTATTTTGAATGTGACTTTTTCTGAAAAAGAAAAGTAAAAGTTCTATTTAATGGCAAAAAATAATTAAGAGTACATATATGTAACTAAGTCACTGTAATACAATTAGCTTCAAGGAAAAGTACAACATTGAAAATGTATAAAACACGTGTTTTCAGAAAATTCAAAACATGTGCACTTTTTAATATATATTTGTTTAGTTCGAAAATACATATTTTCAATTTTAACAATATATATTTTCAATTTTAACAATACATATTTTCAAATTTAACAATACATATTTTCAAATTTAACAATATATATTTTCAAACTAAGAATATATATTGTCCAATTTTAAAATATGTATTTTAAAAAATTACAATATCTTGTTTTGGATTGAAAATATGTATTGTTAAAGTTTACAATATTTTGTGTTGAGTGTTGTGATCCCGTTATATTTCGGAGCATTTGCATTAGCTTCTGCATTCACTGCCTCTCGCTAGTTTTTGTTTGGCATTCAGAGAAGACGGATCACAAAAAAAGAAAAAAATGAATTCACGTAAATTGTTGAAAACAACATTCCAAAACAAAAAAGAAATAGTTTCAGTGGTTTTTGATGGAATTAATGACTACGATTTGTTTATAAATAAAGGTAAAAGATGTATAAAAAGTGTTAATATTGTGAAAGTTCTAATTAATCATGCAGTGACTAATAAAAAATATTAAGTGAAAAACTCTATAAACAATTTAAAGAATTATGTTAATTATTTGTTTTATACATCTCATATAAAAGTGCAATACTCAAAAAAAAGAACAGAAAAATGTTCAGTCGTACGCTTTAACACATTTCATGTTTTTGGTTGTTTGTTTTGTGTGAATCATCTCATCATGAAAAGGTTGGGTGGTTGAACACACAAAACAAACAAAGCATAGAGAGAAGTAAAGAGATTATCGTTTTGGGGAAAATGTTTTTAGTGCAAAATTGAACGTGAATATTGGGAACATTGAAGGTTCATGGACATTGATGTGATTTTTAAAATTGACATATTATTTTATTATTAAATAATTTTTAATAAAATATTTAACCATCTTTATTTATTATAGTAAAGGAAACCTATAATATTCCATCAACTGAAGAAGTTCAAATTTTTAACAAGAAATTTTTAATAAAACCAAACATATTCACCGATTTGGTGGAACAGTATCTATCGTCAACGGATTTTATATTGGACGTAAATTTAATGAGTATCCACAAATTAAATATATTTAAAGTTGTGGTCACGTAATTAGAACATGAACTGTGGTAAGCATTTTTTGAAGTGTTTAAAAAAAAAAATAATAATTCTGAGCTCTTAGATATACTAATTTTTTTTTTCATCTGTAAACTATTTTCAAAAAAAGCAGTAAAGTAAATATTTCCACGTTATTTTATAAAAACTTTTATTTATTAAAAATTGCATAAAATAATTTTCTATTTTCACACTAAACCTCTTAAGTGCAGTATATCTAAGTGTTCAGAATTATATTATTTTTAAAAAATACTTCAAAGAATGTTCACCACAGTTCATGTTCTAATTAGGTGACCACCATTGTATATGTATGTAAATATAATGTGTAATTTCTAAACTAATTTTCGTTGTAGATGATAATTCTTCTTATTCCACCTCAGACTCGAATGATGAATTGGAATCACAGGCTTCCAGTTCACAAAATATAATATTTGGAAGTACACAGCCTTAGGTTATTAGAACTTTAACATGTATAACCGATGATATTTTTAACCAAAGCCAGGGGAATATTTTTATTGACAAAAATGCTTATCCTTCTGTTCCATCAACGGAGGTATGTAAAAATGTTTCTTAATTTAAAATCTTTTCAGTCATTATTAACCCCTTTTTATTCCCGAAGGAAATAAAAGAATATCCTGAAATTAAGCAATTATTGCAATGTAATAGTCTGCAAAATAAGGATAGAACAATTATAGCAAAGAGTATAGTGTCAAATATCCTGAGCCAAAATGTGAATAGACGGTATGTAAATCCTAAACACTTAACAATTTGTTTATATTCAGAGATTCTTTTTCAATTTGCAGTTTATATAAAGATGATTTGTTACAACTTTCCCGATCAATAATAGAAGTATTTCCATCGGAAGTTAGAGAAACTTATTACGTACCCTTTACAAAAGGTCATTTGGCAAAGGGTAAATTGTTTGACGCATACAATAATAAGAGAACACAATTAAGTGCAGCAGGACTGATAAATAGACGTGAAAACGTGAAAAAGAAATGTGAGTATGCTTAAATATAAGAATATTTATATGTTTTGAAAAACAATACGTTCTTTTAGCAAATCATACGCAATTGTCGGAAGATCACGAAACTGGCATATCAGCAGATGAATTGAAAATTCTTGAAACAACGAATGTAGATTGGAACAAAACAAGAGAACTTTGGATTAAATCTCATTCCTATCGACAAAACGAATTACAAAACAACGAGTTAAGTACTATTGACTATATACAAAAATACAACATTCATCTTAATGAGAACTTTCATGAATTGGTAAGTCTTTGAATTATTAATATTATGTAAATTTCGATTAATATTGTTCATATACTTCTCGCCTATGTAACAGCTCTAATAATAAAATTAATCTCCTGAAAACTATATACACAAAATATGAAGTTAAATTATTTGACTTTTTAATTAACTATTCAGATATTTTAGATGCTAAAATAAAATTAGGTCATTCTGTGGAAATGACCAGCGATACTTTCCGAAAATATAATATTTTGTCTACAGTACCATTGCGTGTCTTATCCAATCTTCAATACAATGAAATTTATTTTAAACCTGGAATGGTTATTCAAATTGGAGAATATGATGATAACATTCCATTATTTGGACTCATTATTCATATTTGTTGTTTCGACGATAGTTTTTTCCTGTGCGTTCAAAGACTTTTAACACATGGATTTGATTCGCACTACCATGCTTTTAGAGTAGAATATGAAAATGTTTTTCTTTCTGTCAATGTATTATATTTAGAATCAAATTATACGGGATATATTTGTACATCCAAAGAAGACTGCTTTTATATAAACTAAATGCAATTCCATTTTCGTAATATTAATAATTGTATACTATATGTTAGATTTAATATGTTAATTTATATTATTACCTGTAAAATTAAATAAAATTTGATTTAAAAACACTATCCAAGATGTTTTTAATAATATACATAATATTAAAAAGGTAGAGTATAAGAAATGGTTGGGGCAAACATATATATTGTAACTTTTTAAAATATATATTTTAAGGCCAAAAAAAAGTTTGGTAAAATCTTACCAATCAAATTATTGGGGCAAACAAGTAAATGGTTGGGGCAAACATATATATTGTAACTTTTTAAAAATATATATTTTCAGGCCAAAAAAAGTTTAGTAAAATCTTACCAATCAAATTATTGGGGCAAACAAGTAAATGGTTGGGGCAAACATATATATATTGTAACTTCTTAAAATATATATTTTCAGACCAAAAAAAAGTTTAGTAAAATCTTATCAATCAAATGATGGGGACAAACATGTAAATGGTTGCCGAAAACATATATATTGTAACTTTTTAAAAATATATATTTTCAGGCCAAGAAAACATTTGATAAAATCTTACCAATCAAATGATTGGGACAAACATGTAAATCGTTACAGAAAACATATATATTGTACCTTTTTAAAATATATATTTTCAGGCTAAAAGAACGTTTTATAAAATCTTACCAATCAAATGATTGGGACAACCATGAAACTGGTTGGGGCAAACATTTATATGTATACAGTTTACACAGCCTAACCAAAAACATGTTTGCAGCGGCAATATTACATAATAGAATCCAACCATATATTTACCGATCAAAAAATAATTAAGAGTACATATATGTAACTAAGTCACTGTAATACAATTAGCTTCAAGGAAAAGTACAACATTGAAAATGTATAAAACACGTGTTTTCAGAAAATTCAAAACATGTGCACTTTTTAATATATATTTGTTTAGTTCGAAAATACATATTTTCAATTTTAACAATATATATTTTCAATTTTAACAATACATATTTTCAAATTTAACAATACATATTTTCAAATTTAACAATATATATTTTCAAACTAAGAATATATATTGTCCAATTTTAAAATATGTATTTTAAAAAATTACAATATCTTGTTTTGGATTGAAAATATGTATTGTTAAAGTTTACAATATTTTGTGTTGAGTGTTGTGATCCCGTTATATTTCGGAGCATTTGCATTAGCTTCTGCATTCACTGCCTCTCGCTAGTTTTTGTTTGGCATTCAGAGAAGACGGATCACAAAAAAAGAAAAAAATGAATTCACGTAAATTGTTGAAAACAACATTCCAAAACAAAAAAGAAATAGTTTCAGTGGTTTTTGATGGAATTAATGACTACGATTTGTTTATAAATAAAGGTAAAAGATGTATAAAAAGTGTTAATATTGTGAAAGTTCTAATTAATCATGCAGTGACTAATAAAAAATATTAAGTGAAAAACTCTATAAACAATTTAAAGAATTATGTTAATTATTTGTTTTATACATCTCATATAAAAGTGCAATACTCAAAAAAAAGAACAGAAAAATGTTCAGTCGTACGCTTTAACACATTTCATGTTTTTGGTTGTTTGTTTTGTGTGAATCATCTCATCATGAAAAGGTTGGGTGGTTGAACACACAAAACAAACAAAGCATAGAGAGAAGTAAAGAGATTATCGTTTTGGGGAAAATGTTTTTAGTGCAAAATTGAACGTGAATATTGGGAACATTGAAGGTTCATGGACATTGATGTGATTTTTAAAATTGACATATTATTTTATTATTAAATAATTTTTAATAAAATATTTAACCATCTTTATTTATTATAGTAAAGGAAACCTATAATATTCCATCAACTGAAGAAGTTCAAATTTTTAACAAGAAATTTTTAATAAAACCAAACATATTCACCGATTTGGTGGAACAGTATCTATCGTCAACGGATTTTATATTGGACGTAAATTTAATGAGTATCCACAAATTAAATATATTTAAAGTTGTGGTCACGTAATTAGAACATGAACTGTGGTAAGCATTTTTTGAAGTGTTTAAAAAAAAAATAATAATTCTGAGCTCTTAGATATACTAATTTTTTTTTTCATCTGTAAACTATTTTCAAAAAAAGCAGTAAAGTAAATATTTCCACGTTATTTTATAAAAACTTTTATTTATTAAAAATTGCATAAAATAATTTTCTATTTTCACACTAAACCTCTTAAGTGCAGTATATCTAAGTGTTCAGAATTATATTATTTTTAAAAAATACTTCAAAGAATGTTCACCACAGTTCATGTTCTAATTAGGTGACCACCATTGTATATGTATGTAAATATAATGTGTAATTTCTAAACTAATTTTCGTTGTAGATGATAATTCTTCTTATTCCACCTCAGACTCGAATGATGAATTGGAATCACAGGCTTCCAGTTCACAAAATATAATATTTGGAAGTACACAGCCTCAGGTTATTAGAACTTTAACATGTATAACCGATGATATTTTTAACCAAAGCCAGGGGAATATTTTTATTGACAAAAATGCTTATCCTTCTGTTCCATCAACGGAGGTATGTAAAAATGTTTCTTAATTTAAAATCTTTTCAGTCATTATTAACCCCTTTTTATTCCCGAAGGAAATAAAAGAATATCCTGAAATTAAGCAATTATTGCAATGTAATAGTCTGCAAAATAAGGATAGAACAATTATAGCAAAGAGTATAGTGTCAAATATCCTGAGCCAAAATGTGAATAGACGGTATGTAAATCCTAAACACTTAACAATTTGTTTATATTCAGAGATTCTTTTTCAATTTGCAGTTTATATAAAGATGATTTGTTACAACTTTCCCGATCAATAATAGAAGTATTTCCATCGGAAGTTAGAGAAACTTATTACGTACCCTTTACAAAAGGTCATTTGGCAAAGGGTAAATTGTTTGACGCATACAATAATAAGAGAACACAATTAAGTGCAGCAGGACTGATAAATAGACGTGAAAACGTGAAAAAGAAATGTGAGTATGCTTAAATATAAGAATATTTATATGTTTTGAAAAACAATACGTTCTTTTAGCAAATCATACGCAATTGTCGGAAGATCACGAAACTGGCATATCAGCAGATGAATTGAAAATTCTTGAAACAACGAATGTAGATTGGAACAAAACAAGAGAACTTTGGATTAAATCTCATTCCTATCGACAAAACGAATTACAAAACAACGAGTTAAGTACTATTGACTATATACAAAAATACAACATTCATCTTAATGAGAACTTTCATGAATTGGTAAGTCTTTGAATTATTAATATTATGTAAATTTCGATTAATATTGTTCATATACTTCTCGCCTATGTAACAGCTCTAATAATAAAATTAATCTCCTGAAAACTATATACACAAAATATGAAGTTAAATTATTTGACTTTTTAATTAACTATTCAGATATTTTAGATGCTAAAATAAAATTAGGTCATTCTGTGGAAATGACCAGCGATACTTTCCGAAAATATAATATTTTGTCTACAGTACCATTGCGTGTCTTATCCAATCTTCAATACAATGAAATTTATTTTAAACCTGGAATGGTTATTCAAATTGGAGAATATGATGATAACATTCCATTATTTGGACTCATTATTCATATTTGTTGTTTCGACGATAGTTTTTTCCTGTGCGTTCAAAGACTTTTAACACATGGATTTGATTCGCACTACCATGCTTTTAGAGTAGAATATGAAAATGTTTTTCTTTCTGTCAATGTATTATATTTAGAATCAAATTATACGGGATATATTTGTACATCCAAAGAAGACTGCTTTTATATAAACTAAATGCAATTCCATTTTCGTAATATTAATAATTGTATACTATATGTTAGATTTAATATGTTAATTTATATTATTACCTGTAAAATTAAATAAAATTTGATTTAAAAACACTATCCAAGATGTTTTTAATAATATACATAATATTAAAAAGGTAGAGTATAAGAAATGGTTGGGGCAAACATATATATTGTAACTTTTTAAAATATATATTTTAAGGCCAAAAAAAAGTTTGGTAAAATCTTACCAATCAAATTATTGGGGCAAACAAGTAAATGGTTGGGGCAAACATATATATTGTAACTTTTTAAAAATATATATTTTCAGGCCAAAAAAAGTTTAGTAAAATCTTACCAATCAAATTATTGGGGCAAACAAGTAAATGGTTGGGGCAAACATATATATATTGTAACTTCTTAAAATATATATTTTCAGACCAAAAAAAAGTTTAGTAAAATCTTATCAATCAAATGATGGGGACAAACATGTAAATGGTTGCCGAAAACATATATATTGTAACTTTTTAAAAATATATATTTTCAGGCCAAGAAAACATTTGATAAAATCTTACCAATCAAATGATTGGGACAAACATGTAAATCGTTACAGAAAACATATATATTGTACCTTTTTAAAATATATATTTTCAGGCTAAAAGAACGTTTTATAAAATCTTACCAATCAAATGATTGGGACAACCATGAAACTGGTTGGGGCAAACATTTATATGTATACAGTTTACACAGCCTAACCAAAAACATGTTTGCAGCGGCAATATTACATAATAGAATCCAACCATATATTTACCATATATATTTTGCTCTTCGAATATTGTTGGCTGAACCATATTTTTTTCTCTGCGTGTAGACATTGAATATTTATATGTAAACTGATATATTTCATTTTCTTACTCGACCTAATATTGGGAAGAATATTAGTAATGGCGAAAATCTGACACTGGTTATACCCTTGGCAAGAGGTGTTTTTATTTTTTTTCGGGAATTCTTTATTTTTTAGAGAATTTCATACTCTATAAATAAAAGCTCGTTACGAGTCTAAACCAATTCCACAATGACTAGACCTGCATAATATATTGAGCCACAGTCTTCCTTGGTTCCATTTCACTTCCAGTTATAATATAACTTCTATCAAACCTTAAAGCTTAACCCAACCAAAAGGACATGTTGTTTCTTCACATCTTCATTTACACATTTTACAACACAGCCATTTTCCCAAGATTTGTC